TTCTCAACACTGTAGAATTTAAGCATTGCTTTATTGCCCTTTTTTCATTAGAGAATCTATATATCAATTCATTAGTTATGCAAAAAACAACCTAGTTATTAGGATGTCATTAGCGCAGAATCCAGAAGAGATGCTGGTTTTCCCACTGACAGGTTACCTACCTAGTCACAAGATTTAACAACCTTCATGGCTCTAAGACACCACAGACATATGCATATTGCAAAATACCATTACAAAACCTTATCGCACAGTTTCCCAGCAGACAAGAACATTTTCTTGTTATATTCAGATAAATGGTATTACATATTCACTCTTTGGGGCTATACCTTCGCAGACAATGAAGTTCTTAATAAATTTCTTATACACATTCAGCCCTGTCTTTGCAGAGATACTAGTTTCTACAAGGACAAGGACAAGTCTGCAAAAGTTTTAAAAGGAAGACTATGGTATTTCTGCTCCTCCTCTTTCTTGGTTCTCAAATCTCATTTGAAGTAAGACAAAGACAAACCACACATACATGTCCGTATATTCAGACTACTTAAGGTTTGTAGCATTTGTAGAAGATGGATTTGCTTGTAGTGCTTTTTCATAGACATGCAAGCATGTGTAACATGCCAAGCAGAAGTGTCTTTGGCTTATTAACTCATACAGTTGCGAGGGTTGGTAACTATGGAACAAAGTTAACTAGGTTTTCTAAAACCAAAACACAAGCATCACACACATGCCTCAGGCGAGAGGCAATTACACCGGAGATCTTCATCAGGTGGAGTTGAGATCAGGTACCGAACCTTGAAGCCTCACTAGCTGCAGATTCTTCTCTACAATACACATGGGAAAGACAATTATTCCGCTTGTCATACTGGCAGCCCCTCTCTCAATGAGAGTTTACAGCAGTGTTTTATGTACAGAAACTTGCATTTACTCCAGGTGGTCATAAAAACATGCGGACAAGATCTAACACAACTCAGTGTAAAAGTACGTTAACATTTGCCTGGCCTCTATAACCAACTTCCTTACTAAGGAAGAATTACAAAGCCCAGAGAGTTTTATAAAGGAATGTGCATTAAAGCCTTTACAAGAGCCCTCTGAATAACAGCTTCTATAAGTTTGAGGACAGTATCCAGAATTCAGGGGTGCAGGGGGGCTACACAGCAACAAGAGAATGAAACGTCTTCAAATGGCAGAGGTGCAGGATCCCTGGCATCACTTGAACAACTGCAGTGAACCTTCCTATGTCTTCAGGGCATCTAGCAACATTTATCCTTACATTTTCAGAAGCTGGAGAAACCAAGCCAAATCTAATGCAATGCCCAAAGGAACAAGATTAGCTTCCACTGAGAGAAGACAGAGCCCATGTACGACTAAAGGGGACCATGCACTTCCTTTCCCATCTCATATAACATCTCAGAAGAAGAGCTGTAATTTGGATTCACAAAGCAGCAACGAAACAGACCAAGTGCAATAAAACTTTTCTTTCACACTGGGGAAGGCTGTGGGGAGAGCAAAATGTTTGAAGACTTTATCGTTGCACTGGAACAGATAATTAGGCAATTAAAACTATGAAAAGTGGACAAATTACCAGTTCCAGATGAATTGCTTTGCAGAACAGAAATGGGAAAAGCAAGAAATCAGAAATGAGAGCCTTTGGCAAGCATTTAACTAAAAGAGGGGCAGCTCGGGAATGAAGGTGAAAGGGTAGTTAATTTGCAAAAGCTTATCTGCTCCAGCAAAGGAACATTTTGAAGGAGTTGATCCCTAAAATAATCTTGCTTTTCACGCGTTGATAATCAGAACACATTAACAGAGACCAAGCAGTCTCATTCCAGCTTCAGTTTTGGTCACTGAGCAGGGCTGTGTTTCCAGAGGCATCAGCAGTTCCTTCATATACATACAGAAGAGACTTGCTCGATCATTCTGCTCACTAAGCCCTTCCAAGCAAGAATGAACTTGGGATGCAGGCAAAATTTGCTAATCCAGCTCTGCAAAGGTACCAGCTATGAACTCCTTGGCTTAAAGCCCTGTAGACCTGCTGCAACTGTAGATTTAAGTCAGGACATACCCAACAGGCTGGTGACACACCGTGAGACCAGGTGTGTCTTCCCCCTCACTGCCCACACCAGGAGGCAGCTGCTGTCTCATCACACTCTGTTGATGAAGGAAGGACTTAATAGCTGCAGCTCAGAGAGCCTCCTTTTATTACTGAAAATAATCAAGGGGAAAAGACTGCTGCTGTTGAGACAAGAAGAAACCACTGAGTGCTAAGGATTGCACCTTGTTGAATTGCAGAATATCTCCCACTCTAATAAACCTCAAAAAGGTGGAAGTATGGAGAAGAGAATGAATCACGTGCTTCACAAAGGATTTGGCCTGTCAAATGTGTTTAAAAACAGGGGAAAAAAAAAAAAGGCATTAAACAGTATGAAGACAATGAAACAATGGGGTAAAGAACACAGAAGACGTAACTTGAATATTCACTAGCACGGAGATTGCCTAAGTTAAAGAACACAAACCAATGCACAGCTGTTTCTGTTTTTTTGATTACCTGCAGAAGTTTCACTAGAAGAAATGCAAAACAATAAGCGTGGCATAAATGTATAAAGTAACACCTACTTTTTTTTTTTTTTTTTTTTTTTACAGTTAGAACCCCTAATTTAGATTTCCAGTTATTTTCTTTCTAGTTAAGAGTTTCACAGATATTGCTATCAAGATGTTAATTTTTCACTACAGCATCTCTCTAATACCTATGAATCAAACTCATTCCCATGGTTTATTCCTTCCCGAATCTGATTCTTCCAGTACAACACAAAAGCAGATGAGTAGGGGGAAAAAATAGTTTCAGAGTTTTAAGTACTTTGAATCCCAGAACACCACTCTTATCTAGTCCAAGCAGCTTGAAATGAGACATTGTCACAGGGAAGATGTGGGTAGAACAGTGTTGTACTATTGCATGGGCTGCCAAGGAGGGAGACAATGATAGCACAATTCTGACATCTTCCAGAAGAAATGAAAAAAGTCTTGGACATTTTCCACTGTGATTTCTAGCTCACTGCAGAGTGCTGTTCTACTGTCCGACTCCAATATTGATGTAGCCCTTTGCAAAAGGGAGACAAGCAGTAAAGACACAAGGACTGCTTGATAATGCCCCATTAGATGAATTGCCCTACCTTCAAGAAGCACCACCCAAACGCAGATTTTCCCCCTTTTTTTGAAGGGGAGCTCAAGCAAAGAGACCAGTTTGTTGTCCATCACTAGCAAATGTAGCAGCATTCATCAAAATACACCATACACAAAAAAATACAAATAAAGTACAGCAAATATACCCTACTGACATGCTAATTTCAATGGGGAAAATGAGGTCTTGCAGTTAGTATCCTACCATTACTTCTCTTCTCTAACCATAGTAATAGTTATTTCTTTTGCTATATTTACTTGAATTTCTCCTTTGCTTATAACATTAGAGAGATATGTTGGTGTTAATCCTGAATTATAACCAACACCTGACAGCTCCTCCCTTTCTTTGAGGGACTTCAAAAAAATATTTAATCTTTCTTCTGATGTTTGACAGTCTACGAATTAAAGGAAAAAAAGGGGGAAGAGAAAAAATAAACACAAGAAGATAAAATCATGATTGATTTAAAATTGTAAGAACAACTAACCCATCCGGTATTCTTGATGTGAAGTACAGGGCTTTCAGATTTATATGAGGAAGTTGCCTCAAACTGTATTTTTTCCAGATAGACAAAGAATAGATTGAATAGCTTCCCCAGTTCCTACAAAAAGGTGCCAGGGTGGGCTGGAACCTGATGATCTTTAAGGTCCTTTCCAACCCAAACAATTCTATGGTTCCACTATTACATTTCAGTTCTTGGTACTTGCAGTTTTTCTATTTTAGAAGTCACCTCTGCCTGGTTATAGTTTACCCTAAGAAACAACTCAAACACTACAATTCATGCAGGAGCATGTGTGCTCCAGACAGGCACACAACACCACAAAAGACTAACATTATGTGGAAAATACACACTTCTTTTTTGCTCTTTGGCTATGAAAAGATTAAGAAAACAGAAGATTTGACATTTGCAAAACGCATGAGTGACTCCTCAGCCTTACACAAGTCTCTCCTCTGATACCTTAGTCAGAATTTTATTGGAAGTTCTAAAAATTACCCCCAGAAACACACTGGAAGAATTTGTACAAGGTTGCCCCTGACCTAAATACCATCCACATTTCAATGGTGAAGCAGCAGTAGAGCATAATATCACTGTTATCCAAAATACCCTAACAAACCACCAACAGGCATTTATCCAGTACAGGGTGCTGAGAAGCATCACTATGAAAAGAGACCAACAAAAATAGCAGTGTGATAACTTACCTCAGTACACTACCACTGAGATTATATGAATACAGAGAAGCATAGAGGACTTCTGTCCTTTATTGTTTGATTTTAGGTGAGAGAGAAGCATAATTAGGATTGGTATTGTTCCACCTGCACATGGTAAAGGTGTATTAGGTGTACGTAAAAAGCAGACTGTAGATAAACCAAAGATACTCAGGAGCACGTAATAAGCAGTGACCTAGATTTTGAACCAACACACACACGTTTCAAACAACTAATAGAAACAGTAAAGTTTAAAAAAAGACACCCAGGAGAAGTACTGATCCGCCGGCAGTTATGAACTCTTCACAAATCTGAAGCTGCACACCAGCTCCCCCAGAAGCATCTCCCAGCACACCAAAATAGCCTGGTACAGACACAGGTTATAACAAGTCGGCAACCAGAGGTTACAAACTACACAACTTCCAAACAATTACATAAGGCTCACAGCTCGGCTCCAAGCCTGACCACACGCAGGAACTTCTCCAGAGCAGCCAATTCCTTGAATTGCACCAGAGCACCTCTGAAGCAGCGACACTAAACTACCACAAGCTTCCTTAGAGGCTACAAAACTCCCGCAGAGCTGAGAGCACAGCGGAACAACGTGAATCAAAATCTTTTCCCTTACCTTTGCTGAGAGTGCCTGTGATGAGCTTAAAAATGGTCTGGGCGAATTTGACGATCCCATGCTTGCACCTCTTCGAGCAGCCGCTCATGGCTGAAGCGTGGAGGAAGATCTTCCCTCTCACAAGGTCCAGAAATAACAGAACAAAACAAAGCAAAGAGTCCTTGACAAAGTTCAGGCGGCAGCTGGGGCAAGGCACGGCGCTCCGCTCTCACACACCGAGCCTCAGCGCGGGGCTGGGGCTCGCTCTGAGGGAGGATTGCAGAGGCGAGCCCCGCATCCCCCTGGCGTGAAGACACGACGGCACGGATGCTGCGATGCCCTGCTGGAAGTTGCTCAGCGCAGGGAGCAGCTCAGCCGGGCAGGGGAGGAGGAGGAGGAGGAGGATGAAGAGGAGGAGCAGCAGCAGCAGCTTGCTTCCAGGCTTTGCAGGCTGCCTCGGCGGGCAGTGCCAATGCAGCAGCTAACGCTGGAGTCACGGGGGGCGGCTGCTGCAAACATCGGCGGCTGCTTCAAGTCTCCTCTCTCGGTCTCCTTCCCCAGGCGATTTCACAGCTAGCTGGCCAGTTTCGCTCTCCTCAGGCCCGCGGAAGCCAGCAGACAGCACTTTCTTCATTCCGCCGATGCCGTGCTCGCACCTTGCTCGCAGAAGGCTGCAGGCTTTGCAAAACCTGAAGCAAATAGGACAGCAGGGCTGCACCCAGCAGAAGTCTCTTTCCATCGTACCAGCGTGAATGCTGCTCAGGTGGCTGCTCGCCCAGCATCGGGGCTGGGCCACTTGGCCCCCAGGACCCTCACTTCGTGCACACCACCTCAGGTACCAGGTACGGGGGTCTGATGCTCGCAGGGCTCCTGCTGCCCGTGCAGGGAGCTCAGCCCCCAGCAGCAGCCGCAGTCCAGCTGCTTTCTGCCTGCTTGGAGTAAAGAATTCCGGAGCGGGGACCCGACGGGTACAGCAGCCAGAGCGCAGCTGAGGGGTCTCAGAGCACCTGTCCCCCTCAGTCAGGCATCTCTAGGCTGTAATTCGTGCTGAATTCCTCTCAGATGCTTAAAAGCAACCCCAAAATGCAACGGATGTGTGTCCCAGGGCGGGTTACAGATCGCCTCAGGGCTGTGCTCATCCTCCCCCCCCCCCCCGACGACTTTAACAAAGCCACCTGGCGCCAGCCGGCACCTGTGGGCAGCAGCACCTGCACTCCGCGTCTTTCCCGAGGAAAAAAAAAAAAAAGTGCGAACGAACAGCTTTCCTCCTCAGGGCACACAGCTCCCAGCTCCAGGGATCGAACGGGATCTCCTTCGCCGGTCGGTGTCGCTGCCAGCCCCGGGGCAGGGCTCTGCCACCCCGGCCACCCGCTGTGAGGAGCCGGCCCTTGCCCGCCCCCCCCTCAGGCGCCCAACGGCTTCGTGCCGCCCGATTTACCTCAGGAAAGCGGCCCGGGGGGGCGAGAAATGCGATTACAGAGCGGGTGACCTCGGTAACCCGCCTCCCTGAGCCGACCCGTCAGGCACAGGCTGCTTTGGCACCCGCTGACTTCCATGCAGTTGGCTCTAGTATTGACAAAAGCACAGCTTCGTTTATTTATTTGTTTAAGATTTAGCAGACCCAATCCAAAATCTTCCACATGAACATCAAAGGAGGTTTCTGTGGAGAGCTGCCACGAGCTCACAAAGACATTTGACCCTTGCCCAGCTGGTGACATCACCCACAGCTATGGCCTCTGAGGGTTTTCCCCATGCACAAAGTTTCAGGTATTTTTTTATGTACTTTTCAAAAAAGGTCTTTCCTCTTTCCTTTATTATGCTCCACAAGGTAAAAGACAAAGGCAGCTAAGCACCCAGAACTACGATTTGGAGACAGCGTGGAGACCAGGTGCTTTCCTCAGGGTGCCATGAGCAGAGGAGCCCCCTCCCTGCTTCCTGCATAGCCCCAGCACCTCCATGTCAGCTCCTCTGGTTCCTGCCACCATCACCTCCACACCATCCAGAGTCTTTATTATATAGAATATGGCTTCCTAGTTTCATAGTTACATACATGTGGGTCTCCAGCCCCAGGTCTCATAGGGGAAGCTGGGACAGAGATAAAATACCTTCCTGAACACTGTTAGAAACATATGGTTAAATAGAGTAGTGCATAAGTTTCTAGTGTAAAATAATAATCCTGCCCTCTACTCTGCAGATTTCCAAACAGTAATGTAAGTGGCACAGCGGAACACAAGGATAGAGGATGGGAAAGAAGAATTAAAATAAAAGGCAGCAGTAGCATGGGCTGGGTGAGAAAAGCTGAATGCCACTTCTCTGGACCTTGCTTGGCTCAATAACCTCAGCTGACCACACAAAATGTCTGTTAGACTTGAGGAAAATAGAGAGCTAAGTAGAGAGCTAGATGGCTTCATGAAGCCATCTCCAAGCCTGCTCTTAATTCCCAGAAATCTAATTCAAAATTGGAAATGTGATTGTTCAAAAGAGAAAAAAAAAAAAAAAAAGACATTAAAAGTCAAATGGGAAATCAAGCAATCAGCAGGTTGTTAATTATTATATCTCTATCAAAGTTTTGCTACATGTTTAATTGCATTTATATATATGCAAAATAACTTGGGAGGGGAAAGTACAGCATAATGGGCACATGGAAGCTATAGAAACAGAGTTCTTACATAGTGGGAGATGGGGGAAAGGACAAGGTGTCATAACCCAGACAGCACTTTCAGCCTATCTGGCATCATAGTTTACCACAAAGAAATGAATTTCATCTTAGAGATCTGTTTGCCACCTTTGGCCATACTACACAGGAAAATGGGTCAAAACGTACATTAATAGGAGTGGGCCAACCTTAACCACAAGGTTGCATAAAAGCTGCTGCAGGTTCAGTAGAGTGGTAGAGTTTAGCAGCCCTATAGAGCTTAGGGAAAGCGGAGAGTTAACCACGCTTCCAGCAGAAGTTTCAGTCATTGAAAGGCCCTCTAAAAGTAGTTCCCAAAGCTGACAATCCTAAAAAATTCTCAAAGATATGCTGGACACATTACCCTCTGCCATAGACAGAATGGGTGAATGGGAATTCAAAGGCACCAAACTGCTCTGTCCAAACTGTAGTGTTTATTGCTGAAAGAAGTTAGTATTTTTAATACAGTGACTCCTGAAGTCCTAACAGACTTTTGTGCTAGGTGCAGCACAAACATAAAGCAACAGGGATAGTTCTTTTTCAAAAATATTAGAGACAAAGCAAAAGAAAACAGATGCAGCCAGATGGATGAGGAAGGACAGGAAAATAAGACAAAGAGCTCATTATGTCCATGGTTAGCAGTAACACTTGCTACCTGCATTGTCCTGTGCCCAAAACAGGGAACAGTCTTGAAGACAGGAGGATAATGATGGGTTTTGATGTCTCAACTGCAAGGGCCAGTGTAAGAGAAAGCACAGTTTACTTAAAATTCAGTGTGTTAGAAAATGAAGGCTGGCTATAGTTGTTGTTTTGGAGCAGGAATCAAGGCACAATGAGTGCAAGGGAATGATCATGAAGGGCCTCAAATTCCTCACTGGTGTTTTGTGTGGGAGATCACAAAGACAGCTGATTCTGGTTCAAGGCAAATATAACAGCCTTTAGTGACTGGCTGAGAACTTGCATTTGAAACGTGTTACATCCCTGATCAAGCTTTTTTTATAAGGGCTATTTCAGACTACAAATGGAATAGACAGATACCGCACATTTCTATATTTGACTAGGAGTCTAAGGAGATTAAAGCTGGAAAAGCACAAAAAAGTAAGGTTACACAAAAGGAACATTGTATTGTAGGGGAAAATATTTTTCCTTGAAGGCTTTCATGTAATCAGCCCCCAAATAACAGAGCATATATCCTCTAGATTATTTTATGTGGATTTTCAGCATGCTTAACAAGGAACGATGGTAGGTACAGAGTATTCAGGAATTTAACTGTAACTCACGCACTAGCTTAATTTTCTGTATGTAACTTCTAAGAGCACTGTATAAGTTAATTGTCATCCCAAAGGGATACGAAAGCAAGTGCATTGTAGGAAGTTGTACTTTCCTAATTTGCTATTCAGGATCACAGTGTGGCTGGGTGAGAGGTGAAAGTATTCTGTGGATATATAAGACTCCCATGAACTCCGTTCAACCAGGGGTTCAACCAATACAGTTTCTGCTATCAGAGGCAGTTAAACCTATTTACTTTAGGAGGTAGTTTGATCCATTAACTTGAAACCACATAGCACACACTTGAAAATAATAAACAAACAAACTGTGAACTTGGATGCACTGACTTCTTACAGCCTTTCCCACAGAGGAAGTATCCCCATTTTTCTGTCAGTGCATGAGATTTGCAAAGAGCTGTTCCATGGCTACCTATTGCCAAGGGTGTCAGTGCAACGCGTTCATATTACCCAGTTTATGCCACAGACACTCATCATGTCGTGAAGGCCAAAAACACAAAAGGGATGATGACTGGGATCCATCATAGATCCTGAGTACTGTCAGAGAATAAGGAGTTTTGCACTGAAGATAGAAAGCTCCCACCCTGAAAAGGAAAATCCAAGTCATTCATTTTCTCTACCTCCTTCCCATATTTTTTCTCCTCAAGTTTCTCCAAATGGATATGACACACTATTACATTAATCAGGTATAAAAGAGTAGAATCATGAGGCTGGTAGGTCCTGAAGTGCAAATAAAAGCAGGAGACTTGGCTGGAGCATGCCACAAACTCCTGACCAACTGTGCAGCCTTCACAGAAAAGAGGCTTGAGAACAGACTGTATGCACTGGGTCTCACCCAGGCATAGAAGTAGACAAGTGGCTGGGTGTGCTCTTAGTTCCAGAAACCTTGGCAGAAGACGTACTGTATCACCTTCATTACACTCCCAAAGGCACAGCTGTCTCAGGATAGACCATGAATAATATTTTATTGATCTGCTTGGAAGCAAATCTAACAATTACAGACAATTGTTTCTGCTAGCTACATCCTCGATTACCTCAAATCTAGAGGTAATTAGCAAAACAAGAATTTGAGTTTTATTGGCTCCTCAAACAGGATGTTACAGCTTCAAGGAGTAGCTTGGAAAATTGATCTACTTGAAACGAGGAATTGACACTGTACTATCATTGTGTGTGGCCTGTGTGGGTAGAGCTCTCCGCATGCCTTCTTTGGTGTCATTCTTTGCAACAACACCACCAATAGAGAAGTTTCATGTACAGAAATCCAAATACATTGGACTGCCAAGGAAGTTTGTACTACTACTACTACCACCACCTGTTTTTAGAATGTGGTAAGCTGACATACAACCAAATTAACTCACTTCCCTATCATTACCAAGAACAAAGCAGCAGCAAGATTAGAATCAACATCTCATTTGTACCAGTCTAGCACTACAGCAGCCGCAGCCCAGCCCTGATATTATCTTCTCCACTGGTCTCTAGCATTGCTGCCAAACAGATAATGGCCACACTGCGTTTTCATTCACTCTATAATTCCAGTCAGTATTATCAATCAGGGCCTCAGGAACATTGCATGGAGATTTCCTCATCATTACAGAACTTTTTTTTTTTTTATGGCACAATAGTTATTTCTGGACTCGGGCAGCATTCTTCACTGGAGTGTATGCATAGCTACACATCAGTATTTTCCACACACTGTTCGCTCAATTGGATCATCTGTTTTTTTAATATCCCATCTGTCAGACCTGACTAATTTATACAAAAGTCTAGACAAAGAAACGGTGCTTATGAAAGAGCATGTACATTAAAATGTCTTTTAAATGTTCATATAAGAAATTAAGAGAATGAAGGCTTGGATACAAAACCTTTTTTCTGAAGTACAGGCATACACATACAAAGTGCACATAAATTGAAATAACAATTCTGATTTTTTCAGGAGCAGCCTGGTATCTTGTTGGCCTTGGAAGGCACTTCAAGAAGGTAGTCTCTTCTGCCTGTGGAAAACCACACTGATTTCATTCAAGTTTCATGCAAACAGAGCTTTTTCCCTACAGAAGAGGCTGAGGCCAATGCCTAGATCTCTCTTTTCAAGCCAAGTTCAGTACTTGCCATGCACGCTTCCTGCAAAGAAATTGGCCAAAGTTCA